TCTTCGAATTGGATGCAGCTTATTATTTTTTGCAGACTGAAGAGCCAATTTATAAAAGTAAACTTGAACTTCGATTATTTCAAATAGAATTTCCGATTCTGGAGCTCCCAAAGGATCGTACAAACAAAAGTATGTTTCGATGTCCATCAAACAAAAAAGTGGAATTGCTGCAAAAAAATGGATAAAGACATGAAGAAAATAACAGAGAGGTTAGTGAAAACGAAAAAAATTTCGATTGACAAGTTAGTCAGTATTCTCGCACAACAATTAACGGGACTTGAAACAGCGGAAACTTTGTAACTGAACAAGAAATTATGTCTGTTTATAGAATTAAAGAGAAAGTATTATCACAGAAAACGAAGCAACTTTAACAAACTTACATTGAAAGAAATGTTTAATAAAGTAAAACAAATAATATTAAGTTTTTTTTTTTTTTTTTTTAATTTTGACACCCTTCTAGATTATAATTGTTCTTTATTTCATAAATTACGGTTTCATATTTTTAATTTTAGAATTTCTGCATGCCATCTTACGAGATTTAAACTAATGATCTATAATCCGGAATTGCCGAAGTCCCGGCGAGTCCGGATTAACGACTTTTGACTGTATATCTCTATGGAAATTCGAGAAAATAATTTAAATGAAATGCAGGGAAAAAGTATGTATAATTTAACATTAGGTGTAAGAAAGTCGTGTGGTGTACACATCAGATTTTTATATTGAGTGCGCAAAACTGTCTATCGGAAAATTCTAAAGATATGCTGTTTTTAAGTATTTTATTTTGCATTTCAAATTTTGTAAATCTTTAACAAATTTTTCATTCACAAACTGAATGATTTCAAAGCAAGAAATTGAAACACTGTATAGGGAAAAACATTTTTATCTTTAGCGTGTGAGATTGTGTATTAGAAATTGTAAAGATAGGCTGTTTTCAAATATTTTTAGCCCAAATGCTCTCAAAACGTGTATGTGTATGTAAATGAATTTAAAAAAAAAAGCCCCTTTGTGTGTAATATAAAATCCGAAAGCCTTTGGATTTTTTATTAGCTTGCCCCCTGTCTGTCTGTATTATATTTACTGTTGGTCTCATCTTCAGTTTCCAGAATGCAGTCTTCATTTCCTTCCACTGATTCTAATGAATTTCGCTGTTATTGCATCTGCAGTTCATACGGACTCATTTTCTATGCCTATGCAAAGATTTCTTTGCCAATGCACTTTAATCTTAAAAATGTAAGTTCACATCCTTTAAAACGTACAAAATCTAGTGAGTAAAAATATTTATATTGTTTTTTACTGATGAATATATTAATGAATGAATTATGAATATATGAAGTTATATTGTTTTACTGATGAACTGCAAGAAACAAAATATAAATATGCAATTAATTTTGTTCTTTTTTCATGGTGGGGGAGTATAGATTTTTCTGTCTATTTCTGTGTTTTATTCAGTGATGGATAACGAAAAGTTTCTTATATGTCCATTTAAAAAGTGCTATGTGAAATGTTGTGAACATTTCTGTACCATTGTTTAAAACTGAAAAATTCCATAATTGTTCAATATACAGTAGGAAGTCTGAAATACATGCTCGTTGAGACTTTGGTGATTCTGGGTTTTCTGGATATTTGATCATCAGTTTAATACTAATAAAATGACATGTTGAAATTGTAAAATTAAAAGTATGAAATAGTGATTTATGACCTTAAGGTAATCAAAGTTAAAAAAATGCTAAATATTTATTTGCTTTATTGAACATTCCTTTCAATGTTTGTTTCATTTACATTCTTGTTTTGCACTAATACATCTTCTGTATTTCTATAGGTAGACATAATTTCTTGTTTAGTAACAAAATTCCATTCTTCAAGTCCTGTACTTGCCGTGTCGACAGTTCGCACTAAATTGTGAGTCGAAATTTCATTCTCAGCTACTTCTCTGTCACTTTCTTCATTGTTGGTAGCAATATTTTCTGAATTTAGAAACCACACTATGCATTTCGCTTTCTGTTAGTTGATTGATGATTGGACACTATCATTGCAATGAAAAACTTATGTTATATCATCTGCATTTGTTACCATCTCTTCGCAAATTTTGTCAATTGGAAAATTTCACTTTTTCTTCATGATATCTGAAAACCTTCAAATTCACAGTTATGAGATCGGCGACTAAAGACATGTTGTTCTGCTAAATTTTGTCTTGTTTCTATGGCACACTGACTAAGTTAAGTTTGAATTATATTAGTTGTTATACTTATGCCATTTCTAACATAGTTATCTGAATCCCGAATTAATAAGTTCTCACATATGCTTAAGACTTATCCATGGTGGGTGCTAGACATTTTGGGGCCCAGTGCAGTGACTGTAGGTCCTGAATTCGGCCTTAAATTCTAAAAGATTTGCTGATGATAAATTTTGCATAATAATCCCTTTCCTAAATTCTAAAAAATTTGCCTCCTTTAAATTTTACCACCCAATGCAGCCACACCAGCTATGTTGCTTGTCCTCTGCCTCTGCTTATCAGAATAACAAATGAGTTCTCGATTCAAACAGCACTAAAAGTTATCTTTTGACCTATGAGTATCATTTATAAAATCTGTTTTTTGCATATGGAAGGAATTTTTTGTTAAATTTCTCCTCGTTAGCACACATAACACATTACAGTAATGTCAACATAAAAGGTTGCCTTGCTATTTAGTTTTCAAATACTGGTATTTTAAAAATTCGCTTAAACATCGTTGCATGAATCATTTCTCCAGCTGCTGTGTGTTCACTGTCGTGCAGTAATAAAAGCAAAAACTGATAAGTAATAATTTGCCAGGTTGCTATCAGGCATATAATCTATTCAAGGGGTGTAAAATCAATGATGTTTTGATTTAGAATGCTTTGGTTTGAGGTGTATGCCAAGCAAAAATGCAGCTATTATTGATCATATGATTTATGTTACTAAAAATTGTTTCTTCAACATGATAATATTTTATTTAGTTCCAAAGTGAAATTGAGACTCTCCATATTTTATTATGAAAAAAATATTAAACATGCATGCAAATAACATACAAAAAAGTTTTTAAAAAAAGGGAGGGACAGTTTGGAGGACCGAGTTTTAGATCATTTGGATACCGGGCATCTGGATTTCAGACTTTGAATTGCATTTGGAATAGTTTAACTACATGTCTGATAGAAATTTTATTTATGCTGAATTCTTAAGTTTAGTTGCATTTTGATGAAATTATGCTTTGTAATATTTTGGAAATTAAAACTTTTTTATTTTATTTTATTTATTTATTTTATTTTATTTGTTTTGTTGTTGTTACTATGTTGCATCTTCCTTCCCTTGTGAGCATAATATTATTTCTTAAATATCCTCAATGATAAAGTGATCAAATGACTGAGTAGTTTAGCCATAAATCATGGCAATGCTTAATTACCAGCTGTGCAACCATTTAAAGTAATAATATATGCTGTTTTAAAACTTCCTTTGAGAGAGAAGAAATGTCTACCATACGAGCACTAATTATTATCTCTTATTAATGTAATCGAAGGATGATTGAAATAAATAATGTGTCAGCAAAAGTTCAAATAAAAATGCCGCGGCACACAATGAATTGGAAGTTGATCTGTCAGCACTATCTTTATCTTTAGGGCAGATGTTTTTATTTTATTTGGCTTATAATTCCTTACTAAATGTAGTATTTCATCTCGATGTACTCGTCTTGATATGATTTAAATCAATTCCTCTTATTATAATTCGCTTCCGATAGTGAAGAAAGTGACACAGGGGTTTGAAATGAAAAATTTTTATTGACAAATAGTCGGTATTCTCGACACAGCAATTATAGGACCTGAACAGCAGAACTTTGTAACTGAAGAAGAAATTATGTCTGTTTATAGACTTAAAGAGAAAGTATTATATAAAAACGAAGCAACTAAAACAACTTACATTGAAAGAAATGTTTATAAAGTAAACAAATAAATATTAAGCTTTTTTTTTTTTTTTTTTTTTAAATTTTGGTACCCTTTAGATCATAATGTTCTTTATTTCATAATTACGGTTTCATGTTTTTAATTTTTAATTTTGCATGCATCTTACCAGATTAAACTGATGATCTAATCCGGAATCGCCAAAGTCCGACAAGTCCGGATTAACGACTTTTGACTGTATATATTTTATTCATTTTTAATAAAAGGGCAAACAAACCTGTAAACAAATTTTGTCACTTTTGATAAATAAGATCATCTGTGATTCAGAAAGTAATAACTTGAAACCAAGTAAAATTTCAGAGAAAAATAAAAAAATTATGTTTTCCATTTCTTCATATTTTAGTGCTGACAGTTTTACGCAAAGAAGGACAAACATTCAGGCATATAATAGAAATATAAAGGCTAGAGATGAAAATATGACATTGTTTCACAGCCTACCTCAATAAATTTCATTCAGTTTTTTTTGGTTAATTTGTTCTCATATTAATCAAACCATTTTCATTAGATTTGCCTATTCATCATTAATATTAATTTGCTTTCCTAAGTGTATAAATATAAATTTGTAAATAAACATGCGAAATACAATATAGATTTCAATAAGCAAAATAAGGGATTTTGTAAACAAGTGAAACCTATATTGATAGCAGAATTGTTATTTGGAGATTTAAACCCTCCCTTTTTTTTAAGTTAAAACTACTTGATCATAAGTGGTATGTGTATTAAAAATGTAAATTGTAATAATTTTTAATATGTAATAATGTAATAATTTTAAGAATTCGAATAAAAAGTTTTCAAAAAGGGCTTAAATTGCAGGAAAAGAAAAGTGGATTTTTCTCTCTTAAATCATTTAAAAAAAAAAAAAAAAAACTTTCATAAAAACAGAATTTAGTGTTCAGGAAACATGAAGTCATATGATTAACACTATAAAAGGAAGTGTTTTAAAATTTTTCTTAATATAGTGCTGAGATATGTGGCTATTTCTTATGTATCTTGCTGTTAAAAATAAATATTCTATCTTTATAATGCAGGGAAAAACTCTTACAGTTTCTGCTGAGAATGAAAAAGCCTGACGGATCTTTTACTTTGCATAAGGGTTCTGAAAGTGATATTAGGTAATATGCTTATTGGTGTATCTAAAAATCATCTTTTTAAGTCCATTCAATACTATTACAGAAGATTGTCAGGGGTGTATATATTTATAAAATAATCCATTTTTTTCCATAGAGGTGTGTACTGTGCTTTATCTGTGGCAAAATTAACAAACATATGGTGTCCAGAATTGATAAAAGGAACTGCTCACTGGGTTTCACGGTTTGTACCTTTTTCATATTCATTTGAAAAATCATGAGATTTTAAAATAGTTTCTTTGTACATCATTTTAAGACAGTTTGGCATATGTCTATCTTTTCTATTAGACAAATATATTCTGCTGAATATTTTGCCTGAATTACATTATATTACTGGAATATGAATTATTTGGATTTATTTATCAGACTGCTTGTTGTAGACCGTGTAAACTTATTAATTTATACTTGTGTTTTAATGTGTAAATAAATCTGTGCTTCTCTTTAAGAATCTGTGTAATTGTAGGTATTGTTATTTTATCAAGAAAAAATATCTTTATGTAGTTTGGGTTAAGTAAACTAGGTTATGTATTTTGAAAATAATAATAATAATTTTTTGTTTAATTTTTAATATAGTACTTAGTGCAAAAAGAGAGTCAAACAGTCAAAAGTGTCTGGTTAATGTAATAATGAAATTAATTGTAGTGCATAGTATCAGAGTGTTGAGATAAGGAAAGGTGTTAAGCAGCTTAGTTTCCATTGTCAACTAAATCACAAGAACAATTAAATTCATAACTGAATAAGATGTTTTTTAATTGATCTGCCTTGTCATAAAACATATGAAGCTTCTGCACTACTGTTGTTTCTCTTTTTTATTATTGATTTTATTATATCACTTTAAATGTAATATTTCTAGTAAGATAGAGCAGAATTTTTTTTGCTCTTTGAAGAAGATACGTCTATGTAAAATTCCGTCAAAGTGTTTAATTTTTTCCAATAAAACTTTCGCCAAGATTGGATAGTCTTGCTTTTGTAATTGACATATTTTTCCTCCGTTTATTAAATGTTGCTCATTAGATAAGGAAGGGGGATAAAATTGTTTTAGTTGATTGTAAAAGTGTTGTACTGTTGTATTTCTAATATTTCACCCCCCAGCAGTTGTCTTAGCAACATTTCAATAAGACTGCACATTTGAAAGTAATGTGAAGAAATCCTTTTTGTTTAAACTCATGTATCTAAAATCAGATGCTTGGAAAGCATTTATTAATTTGATTGCAAATATTAATTCTATCTTTCTTTCTTTATTTTAAGTATAGATGTCAAACGTATGAAGGAGGTTTTGGTGGTGTACCATATATGGAAGCACATGGAGGCTATACATTTTGTGGGTTTGCTTCTTTAGTTCTCATGGGTCAAGAAAATTTAATTAATATTAATAATTTATTAGTAAGTATCTCATTTTTTTGTAGTCATTTTAATTTATCTGCCTTCAGCCTTTTAAGATTAATTCTGATTTAGTTACAGTAAAGCCCAATTTATCCAAACTAATTGCAGCAGAGCAATTTCAAAAAAACTTGACCAACCATATTTTCATAAAATAAAACTGGCTCTTTTTTGCACATCTTATTTTTAATAGTAATACTATTTCTCAATATATTTAGAATAAAGTAGATTTTTATCTACTGATAAAAATACAGAAATACTTTTCTGTGCTAAGCTTACTTTTTAGACACACAAAAGTAATGGTATATATTTGAAATTGCAAAAAAAAATTCCTTCTGCATATGGGAAGATTCAGGCAATGGGTGACTTTTCTTCCACCTTCTTAAGTGCAAAAATTGCATTTCGTTATAGAATGGCAAAAATTCACAATGCAAGATATTTTTTTTATTTTATTGAAATAATTAATACTTAAATTTTTAGAAATTTATTCACTTTCAAAGAAATCTTTTAGTGCACTGCATAGTTTTACTAACAAATCCATCAGCAATATAAATGCATGAAACTGATTACGTGGAAAATGATTTCTTAGCATACTCATTTTTCACACGAGTATATTGCGGTCACTTGTTTACATTTGAATTATAAAAAAGTGAAAAAATTTGGAAATGACTATTTGGTAGGAGGGTATTTATTTTATCTTCCTGCACTTTTCTTCTTAAACTGAGTTATATGACAGTTAAAGCAGTTTTTATATTTTGATGAATTGTGCTGGACAACTTAATAGCATATAGTCATGTAATGATAAGGATAATGGGAAAGAAAAAGGTTTGTTGATACAAAAACAGTTTAGGATTGAACGTATATGTTAGTTTCATCATAAATTAACACTTGGTTGACATCTACGTAAATTTAAATCTAAATTCAAGCTGTGAGTTTAAATTTTTATATTAAACATGGTAAATGTCACATATGATTAAGTTTTTAAGTAAATATAATAGTAAATTTTGATAGTAGAGCTGAATTTGTTTTATGGAAGTTTCAGTGGACATAATACATTGCTACCATATGTTGTTACTTAATATTTGGGTTACTATTAGGCATTTTACCCTATATTTTCAATTTAAAGCTGTTTGATTGAATTTGAATCATAAGATGATAAATATATTTAAGAAATACGAATTTCGAACAACCTCACTAAAATATTTAATATTTATTATATTTCTTGGAAGGTGTTTTTTTTTAATCACTGCATTTTATGAAATGGTGCAATTAAATATCATGGTCAGACTATTTTATAATGAAATCAAACAAACAGGGGGGAAAGTTCAATATGTTAGCAAATTTTATAATAAAATAGATAGATGAAAAAAGATGGAAATCTGAATAAAAGGTGTAGAAACATGCCTTATATTTTTCTTAAAACCCTTTATTTAGTTCTGTTTTTATTTAGTTGTATTTTTATTGTAATTTTATGTATCTGTATGTTCAATTATCAAATTCTATGTTTAGCTAAAGATGTATTAAAAGTCTTATTCATAGTTTGATGTAAAATTAAATAATGTTAATTTAGAGGTGGCTTGTGCATCGACAGATGAAATATGAAGGTGGTTTTCAAGGCAGAACTAACAAGTTAGTTGATAGTTGCTACTCTTTTTGGCAAGGTGGCACTTTCCCTCTGATGCATAGAGTCTTGTGTCTAATGGGTAAGTTAAGTGCTTTTAAACATTTACACACGTGGGATATAGTTACTGAAAAACAAAATGCTTAAAAATGACATTATGTCATGAATTGAAAATGAATCAGATTATGGTTTTATACACGTAACGTATATGAGTACTAGCAGTTAAAAAGACATAACTTTAATAACTAAATGCAGAGATACTTTGAGAGTAAAAACAACTATAGCTTATTCTTTTGATCATTTTGCAATAAATATGTTGCTTTTCCAGAGCATTTATCATTCACATGGCTTCACAAGTGTTGCCATTGTGTGAGATACAAGGCCTTTAATTTCATTTTCATGCAGCCTGAAAACAGGCAGTAGAGTGTTGGCATGCAGTATGGCTTAGATCTTTAAAACCGTAACTGTAGTTGCTTAACAAATTGAGCAGGATAAAGGAAGCTCAATTTGTAAAGCAATTACAATTGAAATTTAGTTTTTAAATATTTTAATTTTTATTTCATGTATTAATAATATATCTAACTGATGTACTTTATCATGTAGTTAATATAATTTACTATGTATTCAGTAAAGGAATTTTATGAATATTTACATAATTATTCTAATGAATGAAAGGTTATTCTTTTTCCATACAATACATACCCCCAGTCATTCAGTTTGTTAATATTATTTTATATCATTTTTAATGTGACATAGTAGCTATAGCTCATAATATAAATCACAAAATTATATATAAAAGTGAAGCTTGAATTTTCACGAATCTTTGTTTTGAAAGGTACTATGGTTGCAAAAATTCCATACAGCTCATCAAGCATCAAAACAGCAAATACACACAGTACATCAAAACTCATGACAACAATTTGGCCATAAAAAGATCACATGTTTATGACCACCAGCAAATCACTTCATGTGGAGCAGCACTGCTTCAATTAATATTAATTGTTTAAGTCTCAGGGGGTAATGAAAAAACTCATGTTAAAAGGAGCTAAACTGTGCTGTAATCTTTCTTTTCATTTTATGCCAAAAAACACCATGGAACACAATGGTGCTTGACTTATTGACGTCAAGAAACGCCAAGCCATTTTTATAGTAGAATTAACTCTATATTTTATAAGGTTGTTGATGTATCAGTTTGTACAGAGTAGAAGAAAGTATTAATTCAGTATGCTTTGACAAACATAAATGTTACAAAATTAATTATTTTTTAACTGAAAAAGTGGGGTTTTTTTAATTTTAAAATATTTTTATTTTGTAATATTAGTTAATGTTTAGTATCTAATGTACTAGTATTATTGGTTTATAAATAATTTCAATATGTATTGAATAAAAAATTGAAAATAGTGGCAACTAGAAATAAAATATATTTCTTATATATGGATTACACACACACATGCACAAAATAAATAAATAAAGATGCAAATAAGAATGAGTGAACTAAAGCATGCCAAATTCAATAAAATCCAAACATGTCATTAGTTATAAACCAAATGTTTTGACATGGATTTGAAGGGTGTAGTTGAGCTGATTGAAAATCAGATGGCTAAAATTCAATGCGAGGGCCTCAATAAACATTAACATGAGAACAATGGAATGTACCCTTCATAGTGCAGATTTCAGGATCAGACTTCTAGCCAGAATACACCTGATGAACACACAATACAAACCTATGCCACTTAAGAAATACAGTACAATGTCCGTAATTCGGACTCGTCGGGACTTCGGCGATTCCGGATTGGGGTTTTTTCCCAGATTATAGATCATCAATTTAAATCTGGTAAGATGGCATGCAGAAATTATACAATTAAAAATATGAAACCATAATTTATGAAATAAAGAGCAATTATGATTTAAAGGGTATCAAAATTTTCAAAAAAAAAGTTTAATTTTAATTTGTTTGCTTTATTGAACATTTCTTTCAATGTAAGTTGTTTAAGTTGCTTCGTTTTTTGTGTTAATACTTTCTCTTTAGTTCTATAAACAGATATAATTTCTTGTTCAGTTACACTGTTCAAGTCCTGTAGTTGCTGTGTCGAGAATACCGACTAACTTTGTCAATCGAAATTTTTTCATTTTTAATAATTTCATTTCTCTGTCACTTTCTTCACTATCGGAAGCGGGCACGGGTAAACGCTTTACGCGCATGTGTAGCGGATGCGCGCATTAAACGCACATGCGTAAGTTTGTGTCTTTGAGGTCTGGATTATAGATCATTCCGGATAATGGACATTCATATTATGGTACTGTACCTCCATTGGATACCTGATGACTAAATATAAGTAGTCTAGTCAGATCAGTTGTGTTTCTCTTTGAAGCAGATAAAAGAATCTGCGTGCTTAAAAAAAAATTCATCAAGCCATGGAGACTACATGTCAACAAGAGACTGTACAAGTCCTGTAATAGTTTATGATTTATTTAGTTGGCATATTGAGATTATGGTATGTTTATAAATGTTTCTGACAGGTGAGCGTAATGTATTAACCATTTCTGGAAAGTTAACTTCTTTCATTCTCTGCACTCATTCTGATAGGTTTGATGACTTCTTACAAGACTGTACAACCTTACAAATCTAGCTGCTCAAAAGTATAACTAGGCAAACTCTTCAACACTTTTTATCTGCCTGAATTCTTGGATCTGAAATGCCATATACTATAGGCTACAGAAATTGTGCTCTTCCAAATGCAACTAAATTATGTAATACTTTGCAAGAAATATGGTACTCATTGTGTACAGATTACTTCAGCATAATCATGGAATCCATGCCTCATCATATTTTTGCAGTTTTCTTCTCATGTGAGAGCCTAAAATAATATTAAAGGGAGGTTAGGGGAGGCATTTAAGTGTATTAGTAATATTTTTTTAAATAAATAAAGTAACATTAAAAAATTATGATGTTTATTATAAAAGTAAGTTCTTTCAATTGCAAGAATAGTTGAAAATCACTTGGAATCAGTCAGGGCTGTACGGCAGATGATTCATTTGTTCTAAACCGAAGAACCAATGACATTTTGAATCACATGAACAGAATGTGGCCTGGTATTGTTGTGCAATAAAATGACGTCATCTCTAAGCAAGCCACGTCTCTTGTTATGAATGGCATGTCGCAGGTTTTTCAGTGTTGCACTTTAAGCTGTAGCATTGACAGTTTTGTCTTTAGTTGTGAAATCTGCCAATATTACACCTTATCCATCCCAGAAAACAATGCACATGATTCTGCATGTGGAAATGGTCTGTTTGACCTACCACTGGATCAGTAAGGCAGGGTGCTTCCATTCCGCTGATTGTTGTTCCAATGATAGCCTGATATATGAAATCTAAGTCTCATCACCAATGATAATGTGATTCAACAGTTCATCCCCCTCAGTATTGTACCAGCTTGGAAAGGTCAAAGCAGCAGCAAAATGTTTGCATTTATACTTCTCAGCAAGCATTTTTGGTAGCCATTGTGGACAAACTTTTTGGAATTAATCCTGTTTGTTAATCAAAAATCCATTGATGCTGGCTGCTAAAGAAAAGGTATTTTAAATACCAAAATTTAGCCTTGATTTTTCTCATTTAATTAAGAGGTAGAACTCTCTATGCAGAATTTAAGATTGTGAGTGAGGTCAAGGTAATTAAAGGCCTTTCATTGTTAAAAAAAATGAACAAGGTATCCGACTAAGTTAATTTTTCATTGTAATTTTTCGCCTCTGATGATAAGAATAAAGGTTTTTCAATTTTTTGCAAGCTTTCGTAAAAAGAGCTTCCAAAATCTAAAGTATTTTACTATGTAGCTTCTTAATTAAGAAGTAACTATATAGGACTGTTTGAGAGGCTTCAGATTAATTAAGCATGACAGAACTTCAAACATTTGTATAATATATCTTGCTGCCAAACAATAACTTAATGTAGTCAACATTATATTTTGCTTACCTTTTATGATATAAATAGGTGCAGTAGCTAGCAAGTTGCATAGCAGCACCACAGGTCTGAGGTTCAATTGTGGGGCTGGGCAGGGTTTACTCAGCTTTTCATCCCTTGAGTGGGGAGATAAAATGAGTATCCCAGTGTTTAGTCCTCAAGTTAACTTGAGGACTAAACACTAAGAGTCCTGCGACAAGCTGACAACTTATCTAAGGTATCTGCTCATGCGCCCCGCATCTCACAGTCAAAAAAGCAGATATCAGGGCACTGCAGGCCATGGCTCACTAAGGGTTGTTGCACCATTTAGTTTTTATTATTATTATTACTGATATAAATGTCCCTTTTATCACTGTGAAAGAGTATTATTTATGATTGTTTAGGTAATTTAACCATCACGTTGTGATTCACTTGTATATACCCCGTGTCCTCAAGTGCTTGATATATGATTATAGGCAATATAGTCAAAAGTCGTTAATCCGGACTCATCGGGACTTCGGCGATTCCGGATTATAGATCATCAGTTTAAACCTGGTAAGATGGCATGCAGAAATTATAAAATTAAAAATATGAAACCGTAATTTATGAAATAAAGAACAATTATGATCTAAAGGGTGCCAAAATTTACAAAAAAAAAAAAAAAAAAAAAAAAAGCTTAATATTATTTGTTTACTATATTAAACATTTCTTTCAATTTAAGTTGTTTAAGTTGCTTCGTTCATGCGATAATACTTTCTCTTTAATTCTATAAACAGACATAATTCTTGTTCAGTTACAAAGTTCTGCTGTTCCAAGTCCTATAAATTGCTGTGTCGAGAATACCGACTAATTTGTCAATCGAAATGTTTTCATTTTCAATAACCTCTGGTCACTTTCTTCACTACGGAAGCGAATTATAATGACGAGGAACTTGATTTAAAATATCAAAGACGGAGACATCAAGATGAAATACTACATTTAGTAAGGAATTATAAACCAAATAAAATAAAAACATCTTCCCTGAAGATAAGGATAGTGCAGACAGATCAACTTCCAATTCATTGCGCGCCGCGGAAAAACTGTTTCTTTTTTGTTTTGTTTGCTTAATTTCTTTTATACATCATTCTAGCTTTATTATAGTATTTGAATAGAACATGTGGCAAGGATTAGATAATTCTTTAAATGATGTAAATATTGTGCATTCTGAATTATAATATGAACGAAATATAATACTGTTAAGTGAACCTAGCGCCAGAATGTTGCTATGGTAAACAAATAGAGTGAATTTTAAAGAATACATTTATTCTATTGTGGTTTATGTGCTGTCGGAGAAGAAGATTTAATTTAATCCAATACGTTTAAATGAAATGCAAGAAAAAATGCGTATAATTTAATATTCCGTACAAGGAAGTCATGTGGTGTACACATCAGATTTTTTTACTATAGCAAATCTGGAAGATCCACTGTCAAGAAATTAAAAGAAAATGTTAGTAGCAAGATGTTAAAAAGCTAATGAATGAAAAAAAAATTAAAGCAAATGCAATAAAATTAAATCTCGAATTAAATGAAGATAGGGTATGGTTATATGTATTTTTAACACTAAGATAGGCAATTACTGTTAATATATCAGCAAGGTGACATCAGTATCAGTTAATAGGGTATAAAATCATATTTGCTGAAGAGCAGCATCCTATCTATATAATATAATTATGAAGTAGTTGATAATAATAACTTTGAAGTGAAGACACGAAAAATGAAAAACTTAATGGAATATTTTAAAGTATCATTTGTATTCAATTTAAAAAAGAATCTATCCATAATATTTAATGTCTAATAACAGTACATTAAATATCTAAGTAATGAATGTTTAGGGTACAAGTCTTACAGTTTTATATGCAGTAATTATCTAATAATCTAATTTTTTTTTTATTTAGAAAATGAAACAATGAGCACAGACAATTGGTTATTTAATCAAGGAGCTCTGCAGGAATATTTGCTAGTCAATTGCCAAACTCCTCACGGTGGTCTCATAGATAAACCAGGAAAGTGAGTTGAACACTTAACATTGATATCTTGATTAGTGTTTTTATGATAATTGCATAAATCAGTTAAGTCGAGGTTGTTTCTTAATGCAACTGCATTTTAATTTTCATATTTAGTCACATATGGTAACATATAATATTTTTATGTTTTTTTATCATAGTAGTTAATTCATTTTGATTTCTTTGTAAGTCTTGTACTTTTTAGAAACTATTCAAAATGTATCTGATATTTGAAAACAGCTTTCTAGTTCTTTCAAATTTTTTGTTCTCTTTTAGTGATTTCTGTTTTTAAAGTTACATTTTTTGTAATTATTACTGAATTTTCTGATTTAAACACACTTGAGGCTTTGCAGAATTTGCCAAATCAAGAGGGAAAAAAATATATCCAGAAATTTAGTGGTACTATTAGTGTCAGGTATGAATCATACGTATACAGTAAATTTATGTGACCTGTTTTGGAATAATATGTATTCCAAATGTTTATATATATGTTTTGGAATAATATGTATTAATATGTTTGAGATATATTATGTATATATATTTAGATTTTAGATGCATTAAAAGGGGGAAATATATGTATTCTGAGTAGTAAGCATATAATGTTAGAAATGTGTTAAGCAATTTGATATTCTTTTCTGATTGAAGAAATTGAAATCTGTTTGGATTTCAGCTTCTCTTATTACATTTTGGAAACAAGCATTTCATTGAGTACTTTTACAGTTGAAATGAGTACCGTAATTTCCGGAAGAAAGGCCGCATCAGCGTAAACGGCGCACTCGAGAAAAATGGTGGGAAAAAAATTAAAATTACACAGAAACGCCGCAATAGATTAAATTGCGCGTGACATCATCATGGGCCGTATAGATGCAAAAACTCAACCTAAGTCCTGATATATGACATACCAGTTAAGAAAAATGCATGAAATGAAACCATAACTCAAAAATAAATTAAAGGTAAGAAATGTTTAGCTTCTGTGCCGTTAGAGACATTTTCAAAAATTTTCGCTCCCTTCTTACTCTAAAAACTATACAACAAGTACTTGTACCCAAAACTGATGGGATCTGTATTTGGCAGAATGCCAAGATAAATCATTCATGCTGAAGGGGAAATACTCAGAGTTCGTTATTGCGAGGGGTGAAGTCGTGTTCGCCTTTGAAAAAAATTGCAGAAAAGGCAGGGGTGGGGGAGAGGATGGGTCTTGGAAGATCATCCAATAGCAGAGGAGAGAGACTATTCAAACTGATGAGAATATTGATTTGAAAGGGGGAAGAATGTTATTGTTTGAGATCTCGTTTAGGGTGAATAAGGCATGTAGGTCCGTTTCAAGGGAAAGAATGTAAACAAAATAACGTTGCAAAAGCAACTGAGTGGTCTTTTGTGTGGGAACCAGTCTATGCACAATGACAAGCCATCCAAACTATGTACAATGACCATCATAGGAAATATTTTATTTTTAGTGCACCTAAACGCCACATGGGTAGAAACGCCGCACCCGCTGAAAATTTAAGTTTTAAACACGTAAACGCCGCGGCATTTCTTCCGAAAATTACGGTATATATTGTTACTATTCTAATTTGATGTGCTTTGGCAATTATAATAGTTAAGTGGTATGATTTTTTTCATTGAAATTTGAGATTGTTTTCTAATTACCAAAGCTTAAGTTGCATTAAATTGTTAAAAGGTTATTATGGTATGGCACTTGCATTTAGTTTGCAATCACAGACTGAAGTTTCTTTAAATTAATATTTTAAGATTTCTTGGCATATTAATTTCCCAAAGAAATCTTAAGTATTTTTTATAATAAATATTTTAATAATATTGTAGCAAATCAAAAACCCACATGGTATTGGGCAGGTTAAAAAAGGGGGAAGAACGAATAATAAATGAAGATAAGTTTAAATAAATCATTAATTTCTTTTTGACTTTTTTAGACGAGTATGTATTAAATGTATTATACTTTTGTGTAAAGAAGGAATAAAAAGGGAAAACCATATTATTAAAATTATTTTTTACATTTTTCAAACATCTGTTTTCAGTAGTTTGTTTTTAAAGCTTTAGGATATTCTGGTTTGATTCCCTCCCACTGAAAAAATTATAGTCTTTGCTGTGAATTTGGTGAGAAGTTGATGTGATTGCATTATTAAAAGCAGCTGTCTAAACTAACATTTATTGAAACTTAACAAATAAATACAACTAAGGAAATAATAATATGTACTTACTATTCTGCCTTGGTATTAGCACTGTTATATATATATATATATTGAAGAAAGAAAGAGACTTGCCTTTAGAACACTGTGCTGTGAAATTTGTAAACAAATATCATTATCATTAAGTACAAGGTGTCTAAAATGGAAACCATCTCACTACCAGATTACAACCATAATTTATTTCCAGTTCTGTTGCAAAAAATCAGCTGCAGTATGTCACCAAATCATGTGTACAGCGTTAGGTACTAATGTTGTATCAATAGGACACTGTGAAGCTTTGGTGTTGAAAGTTAAAAAACAAGGACTATGACATTCGAGAAGCAGATCGTTGTGGCTGGCCTACTGATGTTGATGAAGCCTGCATGCGGGAACTTGAAGAAGATCAATATATAAGGACTTGAGAGCTTCCTATGGACATTAGTGCCATGCCCATTAGTCGCGCTATGAATCGTATAAACTTGACATACAAGTTCAGTCGCTGGGTGCTGCATGAGCTAGCTCAAGCAGATAAGGACAGACGTGTTCGGGCTTGCACTAATCTGCTCGAATCTCAACATAAGGACAAAATTCTGGATCCGATCATCACTTGTGTTAAAAGTGGATTTAGTTCGAAACACATGCCGAAAAGAGGGTTTGTCTGCGCCTGGTAAGCCCATCGGCAGCATCGCAAATCTCAATTTGACTAAGATAATGCTTTGTATCTGGTCGGATTGCTGTGGTATAAATAAATACAACTAAAGAAAAAATTATACACAAAGAGTATCTGGAAAAGATAATGTAAGTTGTACAGCAAGATGCTAGTCCGTGTTGACACCGCTATCAAGGAAAAACATCGAACTGAGTTCTGGCCACAAAAGGTAATGTTCCATCAAGATAATGCAAGGTCACATGTATCTGCATTTGCCAGCTGGATTCTGTACAGACTCAAACGGTATCTTTTGCACACCCGCCATATAGCCCCGACGTCGATCCTTCGGACTTCTACTTTTTTTCACATTTGCAGCTACATCTGGCTGTTGCTATCTTCCATTCTACATAGGATGTCTGAAATGAGATTGATCTGTTTTTGGACTCCCGCCCACCGAGTTTCTGGTCAGAAGACTTTGAAATACTTATTGGCAGAAAAATCGTAAATTTGGGTAGTGATTACTACCAGCAATAAAGGTTCTGCTTTCAAGGTTCCCCCCCCCAACCTTTATTAAGAATGTTTTTTGGTGGAAAACTTATGTTACAACCAGAAATCATAGGATAATTTACAATTCATTCATGTTGCAGTACTGGTCAAGATCATTCTATATAGCTATGTATAAAATAATAATTTTAATTGCTGTGCATAACATTTACAGTTTAATATAATGATTGCAAATACTTTTTACTATAGTGATTGTAATTACTATAGTAATTACAATCACTATTAAATTATATTGTACAAAACTAATTAAGGTGTATAGAGGACAAAGTATTATAAATGAAAGCAATGATCATGCATAGTACTCAATCAAAAGCAAAATTTTTGGAAACTTAAATAACTAAAATTGATATGGAGAAATAAGCTAAAAATGCAAAATAAAGAAAGTTATAAAGAAATGAAATCTTTTTTATGTTTCATGCTTATCAGTGTAACGTACTAAACAATTTTAAACTAGTGTAGTCGAAGACTTTAATCAGTACCTCCCTGTGAAATGGTATGACTTCCTGGAAGACCTTTGTAAGACAAGCCAGTCTGTGCTTAAATTGCACATAAGAAAATTTCTAAAAACTTCAAGTGATCTCCTGTTTGATACCTGGAAAAGAATCTGGAATAAGTGTTTTGCAAGCTTTAACCATTTAATTGATAGTCAACTGGTAAATAATGAAATAAATATCATAAAACTGCAAAAGTTGCAAGTTATAAAATGTCTCTTTACTTGTGTATCTTGATAAATGTGTGACACAATTTATGCTCATATTTACTTTTTATTGAAATATTGTGATAATGATGAATTCTGGATTTAGCATTCCGTCAAGGTTAAAACGAAAGAATGTTTCTTATGCGAAAGAAACAGTTCTTTATCTTAACCTTTTTCTTGAATGAAATGATAATAAATGATTAAATATTTTTGAATTGTTAATTGATGACAAAGATTACATGAGGATGATTAAAGCAATATCATTGATGAAAGTGAAGCTTTAGAAGAAAAATATATGAAAATTCTAGAATAGATAAACAACGTTTGTGTAACTGCTTGTGACTGTACGTAATTTAAAAGAAAAGACCTCAGATAGGAACATGTTAGTTTTAAAGCAAACTATTCAAAAATGCATGTCTGATAAATGTAAAAATGGTAATTTTTTATCTCTATCTTTATATGCTTTTTATCTTTATGTTCTTTTTGTTGTTCCTTATGTAAATATTTAAAAAAAAAAAAAAATTTTTTATCCTATGAAAATATTTTTTATGTTCTTTTTGTTGTTCCTTATGTAAATATTTAAAAAAAAAAAAATTTTTTATCCTATGAAATATTTTTTAAAAACAATGTGCGATCTTTGTTCTTAGTCTGCTTAAAATTATCCTTCACATTTTGTCTAGTAATAAGCTTACTAACTGTCACTGCTGCTGTGTTTTATTTAATAATAAAATTGAATTTAGATTTTTAAGTTTTTTTTTTTTTTTTTTTTTTTCCAAAACTGAGAAATTAAAAATTCTCCTTTTGCTTTTGAGAAATTTCCAAAAAAGAATTCTTAATGTAAAACACTGTGCATATTATAGTAGTACATATGAACTCGTAACTGTGTACTTCTATTGTAAACAAGTCTCATGACTTCAGTTTTCCATTACAAGATTTTAATGTTCATAATAATCAATGTGTATTATCTGTTTTTCTTGTAATGATAAAGAATTTATTAATATGTTTTCAGAAACAAAGATTATTATCATACTTGCTATGCTCTTAGTGGGCTTTCTATCGCACAGCATTTTGCAAGTGGCCACATAGGAAAAATTAGAGTTGTTGGTAATGAAGAAAATGAACTTGTGAGTATCAGATGTTTAGCATTTCATATGTAACATAATTCCCTTATTACGTCTGAGATTATGGGTAATATTTCATGTATGTAATGACAAAATTTGAATAATATTTGCATTGAATAGAAATGTTAAAAAAGAAATTATTCGTAAAATTAGAGGTAAGAGGAAAAAATCATGAAGTAGTTGAGTATGTAATGATTTCAATTCCCCCAACCCTATATAATTCATTCAAATATTATAAGATTATTTGATTTAGCATAAAGCATTGCTTTGGTAGCTAGGAAGGATTACTTGGTTATATATTGGGTTTAAGGGCCAATCTGCTTATAGAATGGCATACTTTTCTGAAGGACCATTTTGGAACAATATTATATAAGATAAAACATTATATAAAGATACGAGAAATACATTATATACACATTCAGAGTAAAACACTGAAAACCTCTTACAACCATTGTTTGGTACCTGGAATAGAACTTCAAGACAACTATTGGTATTTTATCAATTGGCTACCAGTTAGAAAAATTTCATGCTTAGAAAATATTTTAACTTTTTGAAATCCAGACCCTTCGCTAAGTGTATCCTCAAAATACCTGAACCGCCAACAATACTTTTCCAGTTTCACAGCAGTTTCCTCCCCTCCCCGTTCATTAATGCAGAAAATAGGTGTGAAGATATCCAATGACATCCTTTGTACTTTCTAACAAAGATTCCAGCTTTGTTATGATCACGACTGAGATTTTGTTTATTTCCGTTATTTTCATAGGAAGGAATAAATTGTTTAAAAATAAATATAATCCTTTAAATTTTTAACTGCTCTTATTTGCTGTTTAAAGCTTAAAAGCACACTGTACCACAAAAGATCACAACAAAATGTCACATCACCAAAAGATAAAAACTCTTGGACAAGTGTTGCAGTAAATGAACAATGCATTTGGGGAAAGTGCACCTGCTACTACATATCTTAGGGGGAGGGAAGAAAAGAAGATTACAATCTTGGCCATTTTCGGGCGGTTCTGGTCGTTTCAATGTAGGGCCGTGTCGGGCGGATTGGATGTGAAGGAGTTAAAAATATGCAAATGTCTATAAATAGTGTATTTCTTTAGTGAGAAAATTGAATGAAAGTTTCTGCATCAAGTTCATACACAAGGCTCATTTTAGCTATATTTGTACTCTGTGGTTGCCAGCTGTGTTAGGTGATCTAATAGTGTCTTCTTTAAGACTGATGCCTAATTATAGGCCTAGAACAGAGTACCTTATATTGATGTCTGTATCTGAATGCACATAAAAAATGAATTGTGCATTAGTGGTGCAATGTCATCTAGAGTGGCAAATTAGATCTCCAGTGCAACAAAGAATTGATATGTTCATGATGCTGACAACACGGGATTCAAACCTCATCCTAAAATACAGAACAACTTATTGCTGTTATGATATAATCTGCAAGTGTATCTAAACTGGTATTCAAGAGTATTCCCATCAAACCTATTTTACAATGTATTTCTCCTTATTATTAAAGCATTTGTGATAGTTATGTAATTTGGCATAATATTTTATAAATTGCATTCAAAAATGTCATTTCTAGTATTTGAAATATAACCCCCTTTGACTACCTGCAAAAGAAAAATATTTTATCAGTGAGACAATGTAATGTGCTACTGCCAAGTATGTTTAAAAATAATTTCTACTGTAGTACATCCCCTTCTATATCCTTTCCTCAAAGCCAGTGGTCTTCAGAATGTGTGCCACAGAATACTGAGGTTGAATTGAATAACTAAAAATCAAAATTCCCCAAAATTTTTTAACACTTGTGAAATGCTGAGCTAAACATCTAAAATAATTATTAAAATAGATCTGTTTTACAAGCTAGAGGGATCTGTTTTATAATCAGAGGCAAATAAAGCAACTCTTGAGAAAACAAAGAAGAATGAGTCATCTCTGTTTTTGCATTTAAGTCCAGTAACTACAAAATAAAATGATACATAAATTTCTGATTGACATTATTTGTTGACTTATATTATTAGTTGCTCCTCACTTTCAGCTTGCAGGAACCTGTAGTGTAACAAAACTGAGTTGAAGCACATGTGTATCTTGTGTGTAAAGCATCTGTCAGAGTGAAGAGAAAGATGATTGTTCAGTGAAAAATTATAATAAAATAAGTATTTTCTTTTCTTTAACCACAAAGGTATAGGCAACACTAATAAATTTTTAATGCTCTTTTAGTATTTATTTTCCTAAGTGCAATGGCAAAAATTTAAAAAAGGGCACACTTTATGGATTCCCTGAATTGACTAAGGTGGAAGACCACTACTCTTAATAATATACAAATATTTATTATTTAATATTACCAAGGAGTGTATATTTATATTATACACTCTTCAAGGAAATAAAAAAAAAATAAGAAGAAGCACCTTTAAAAAATAATCCGATCATCTCAAAATTTTGTATGCAAATATTCAAGACCAGTGAGTGTTCACTTTAGTCATAGTATCATAATCAGAGTTAACTTTAGTCATTTCTACCATGCAACTAGCATCATATAAAACAGGTAAACTGCTGTCCAATGTGCTAATTGTAGACACTTTATCTTTTCTCATTGTCAGTGTTGTGGTTCTCTGGAGAAGCAGTGAGTAATGCCCTTATGATGTTGTCAAAGACTTTATAATAATACAAAGACTTTATAATTTGATGTCTTCTAATGTGGTTGCATGGTAGGGATGTGCGAAGCAGATTGGTCATATCTAGCAGTAGGCTGCCACCTGCACCATATAGACATGGCTGTGAAGAACTGCTGACAGTAGTGGTTGGTTCAAAATACTCATTGGTGGAATCAAGGCTCTGGAAAGCAAAAGTGCACAAATGCAAGGCAAGATGGGATGATTGTGTAATAGGTCTGGAACTGTCCCAACAGCATTCTCTTCTATTATCCAATGTGCTAGCAGCTTCTTCCATATGAACCAGAGTTGCCACGCTACCTGGAAAATCGGGGAAAACCGGAAAAAGTCAGGAAATTCGAAAATTGACCAGAAAAGTCAGAGAATTTAAATATTTTAGCCAAAATCTGGAAAAGTCAGGAAATGTCATACGGCAATCCCCCAAAAAGCGAGTTTTGCACCGATGTTGGAAACGATCACTTTGTTGGTGAGTTATGTATCAGATGAGCGTCGTTCGGGCAGCTGGCGTAGAGCCAATTTTCGCAGCTCCAATCAGATTGTTTTTTAGAAAGGCAAAGCAAGTTTCCCCAAAAAGCGAGTTTTGCGCCGATGTTGGAAACGATCACTTTGTTGGTGAGTTATGTATCAGATGAGCGTCATTCGAGCAGCTGGTGTAGAGCCAATTTTCGCATTGTCTTTTAGAAAGGCAAAGCAAGTTTTCGAACCGCGAGAATCCTAAAGACTCGCTTGTGCAGATTATGTTGAACTGAAGAAAATACCTTTCCATTCTCGTATGCAACAAAATCGGTTTAATCCTAATATACGGTACCATGGACTCTGATCTAATGTAAGAATGTCTATGTAAAGAAAGAAAGGTTCCATAGACGTAATGTAAATCAGTTTGCTAGAGTGTCGGTAGAAAGCGGAGGGAAAAACTCGCCAAGGGGATTTGGCGACGGAACCTGGCGGCAACAATTACCCCCCTCCCCCTCCGCACACGTGTACAGGAATTTGTGGAGCATGTGTTAAGAAGAAACGTTCTTTGACTTTCATGATAATTTATACTCAGATTTTTGTACTTTTTTTTTTTTTTTTTGTTCAAAATAACTAATCTATTAATTTACTCGCTTAAAAAAACATTTTCTTTTCCTTTAAAGTTTAAGGAAATTTAAAACGATATTCGTTTTATGTACTCTTGATAAACTTGACATTCGAATTTCGGGAGCTTCGGCGACAGATATTTCGTGCATACAGAGCTGTTTCCCTCTACGTTGGGACGGAGCTATTTCTGTTGCAGAGAAGTTTTTTTGTCTTAACAGTACATATTTTTTTTTATTCTAACCTCCATGTACGGTACATATGGGATTTGGTGACATTATGATGAGTAACAAGTTACTTCATTCTGTCTCTTAGTCACTGTTTAAGAAGGTGTTGGGCAATAAACATCCATTTTGTGTTGGCGGCAGTTTTCAAATTCTACCAAGCCGGAGCAAGACTAGGATTTATCGCAAATCTTTCTAACTTTTTTTTCATTTTAATAATGCCTTATTTTTCATTTTTCAGTAAATAAAAAATAGTAATCAATATCTAGTAACGTTAATATGACTATATTCGCCAAAATATCATTGATTATTGTAATTCAATTTTTAAGTAACTAACTTCATTTAATGTTATTTATATCATTTAATGTTCTCCTCTAAATTTATTTATTTATTAATAATACTTTCAAAATTTAGCAATTTCTCTGGCATAATTCTGAACTAAATCTAGCAGTATGATGACATACTATCACGAAATTTATGCCATATTTTTGTTTTATGCTGCTAAATAAATATAAATACGAATTATTTTATTTCTTTTGTTTAGCTGCAAATGTCTGCAAAAAACTCATTTTTTAATCCAGATGGGCAGTTCTAATCTCATCTTCAGTTGAGAAAACAACTCCTTTTAGCTATAATAGTAATGCTTTCAGGATTATATATATAATAAGTCTGACACAATTGGCAAATTTTTTAGTTTTCAAGTGGTACCATAATTAATTTACTTCTCAGTGCAGCAAACACGCACTATGCGGATAGACTGGAATTTTCTCAAAACACACCTAGAAAACCTGGAAAAGTCAGAGAATTTCATTCTCCTCTTTAAGTGACAACCCTGACTAACCATGGCACCTGGCTGAGGCAGGATTGTGCTCATAGCAGCCTTTAAGATTACTGTCTTTAACCCCACATCTGTTTTTAACATCTTACTTCACTCTTGGAGCAGATAACTATCAGGTTCATGCATGGAAAGGTCAGAGCCAGTGCTCCCAATCAGCCTATGTTTTACAGAAGCACACATCCATTACTCCTGGTATGATTGTATGGATTGCTTATTCTTACGACAGTAGGTTGACCCTAAGTTATCCTGAATACAACTCAACAGATGTGGCCGTTTGTATTACCATTCATTGCATGTCGTCCTGGAGCCATTTTCCAACAGGATAATTCTGGACCCCGTAGGGCTCACATATCTTTGCACTGTTTGAGCTGTTGATAACCAGCAAGGTCACCAGACCTTTCACCAGTCAGACATGTATATGATATGGTGGACCAGATTTGGGCATCCCAAAATGTCACAGATCTTGAGATATGCCTGGTGGGATGAGTTAGGAATCTGTATCGTCCCTTACCTCAATGTTTACAAGCTTGTGTCATTACCAGGCAGGGTTTCACCAGTTACTGATTTGAACATTCAGTATTCAATTGCTTGCCACTGGTATGTCCTATGGTCTTGAATTTTCCCCCCGCCCCCAAAAAAGTGTATGAAGGAGAAGAAAATGCTTCTTTTATTTGTTGATGTGTATAAAATTGGCTGTTTCAATGTTTGCGAGATGACAGCATCAGGAGCAAATACTGTTTAGTTATTTTTTTATAAATCTCTCTGGAGATTGCAGTGCATACTGAAGCAGTATTTTAATGTTTATTTCATCTAGTATCTCATTTTTAAACATTAAAAATTTTCATGCAATGTATTACTTTTTCAAATTTTTATTTTGTTTTTCTTCTAACTGTGTGTTCTATTTGGCAGAAATTATCTGTGTATCTATAAGCCTTGTGTCAATCTGATATTCACATTTGCTTATTCTGTATTTGATATTGTCCTCCTGCTTTGTCATATATATTCGTTCTTGGTTATGAGAAATAAAAAAACATTAACCTCAACTCCGTAGTTTCTTTTCATTCTTCTGTTATGAGATTTTGGTTTTTAGAATTTAAAATTCTGAATCTGCTGCATAGTGATGGGTTTTTGTTGTGTGAGGAAATAACATTCTCTTTTGAAAATAGATTTATATGTTCTATGTATGTGATTACATGAGATATGACATAATGTTTGAATCAAGTAGTGTAATAACTTTTTTATCCTCAAAATTTCTCAGTAATGCAAAAATTCTTAAGTACATGCAAATTAGGAAACAGTGTTATATTTTTATGCAATGTTAATGTATGACAAATCTATAGGCTGATCACTTTTTTAGAATGAGTTTCAAATGAATTGTAAATTGTCATTATAAATAAAAAATACTTTATATATGTTCTTTCTGGTGGCTGTTTCTGTGGGTTTTTCATCTTCATCTTCACTTTCAAAATGATGTTATTTACAGTTAGCAATGGTGTTTTGCTTCATTCCCTTCCTTCATTTTATTTTTATAATACTTTCAAGATTTTAAATCTCCGTTTAGACTGTGCTCATTTTGTTCTGAGGTGCAATAATTCTATGATGTGATACATTGATGTATTTTTATCTTCTGTTCTACATTGATGGAAGAGGTTTGGGGAAAGGTATAAATTTCATATCTGTTTCTTTTTCTATCTCTCTCTCTTTTTTTTTTAATAGCATATTTGGGTACATGAAAGACAGACTGCTTTATTGTCACCGAATAGCTTTGTAAACAAAGAGCTGAAATTTTCTTCTTTAAACATATTAGCTAAAACATTTATTTTGACAATTAGAAAAATATTCCAGTCTGCAAGTTTCAAATTACTGTCTAACATCTTAAAGAAAATTAGTCATTAAGAATTTATAAAAATGTAAAGAATTTACAAATACGTCTCTTCTGGAGTAAAAATAATATTTCCTCATGACTTTGGGCCCAATATTTATTTAAATGATTCATTTTTACAAGAGGTGTTATTTAACTATATACGATTGTAATTCAGTTTCAGAATGATAGTATTGTAAAATAATTCTTTTATTTATTTTATGTTTTTAAATCTTTTTTATCAAAATTAAAGTAAAAATGTGTAAACAGCCTCTATATATGTGTTGATTTAAGAAAAATTAATTAAAAAAAATTTTTTTTTCACATTTTCTTCCTCTTTTAGTGCCCAACTCATCCTGTGTATAATTTATGTGTACAAAGTGCATTAGAAGCTGTGGAATATTTCAAGAATTTGCCAGTCCCTAGTGTACCTTCAGAATATCAGAATGATTCCAATAAAAATGTTTGAGACTTTGTATGAAATTAAGAGAAAAAATAAATAAATGTTTTATATCATTTGATTTGTATGCTAGAAATAAAATTCTCACATTACTTTTTCTCATGTTACGTTTGTATAGCTTTCTTTGTGGGTATGTGGATATGTACAAAGATTCGGGTTTAAATCACTAAGATTTAAAAAATAATAATATATAATAATCATTGGAAAGAGAAATCCTCTAGTGTAATATGTAAATTAGGCAAAAATTCTTGCTTCTGAATAAAAGTGACTGATATCTAATACCTTCATTAGTTTTTTTAATGTGCATTAATCTGAGTGCCTTTTTTTTTTTTTTTTTTTTGGGAGGGGACTGATTTTAAACTTCTAGGCTGAGGGGAATTAACTCCCTGTTGAAATATTTTATAATTTTAAATCTTTATCAGTTTTATTAAAACAAAAAGAAATTTCTTCTTTAATAGCAAAAAGTGTTATGTTTTGCTAAGAACTCACATAAGCACTACCAATATCCCCTAATTTTCATAACTGCAGTTTTTCAGTGGGAAATGTTTACAAGAGATTTTTGGAGATACTCCAGCAGTATGTTTTCAGAAACTTCGCTAATTTGCTTCTCCAATTCTTCAAGAGGTGTTTTTTTTCGGAGGGGGGGGGGGTAATAAACATCCTCTTTTTTTTCATCCCCAGAAGTCTGATAAACTAAATCAAGATTTCTTGCTGGCCATTCAAGGGTGCTTCAGCATCTCGACCTGTCCTGAAAAATGGTTCTGAACCATATACAAAATAAGGAAAGTCCCTCTTGCATAAAGATTAAATTATTGCATTTATCCATGACATAAGGACAATATTGTTGCATAGATAATGTGATCTTCAAAGGAAGAGGCAAGTATTCAAGTCTGAACTCAAGACTTTATTATTTAAACTTAATGAGTAACCTATTATATATATACGTGATGAACAAGCTGGAACATTCTAGACTTGGAATGTTCTAGGAAATGGAGAAAACTCTCCAATAGGTGGAACATAAAGGAAACAAATTAACAGGAAGGAAATGTAAACAAAACTAATTTTTGGGGCAACTTGCCTTTGGTGACCCACTGAGCCTTAATGCGCTCAGTGGATAGGAACAATTTTTGCTACATTTCCCTCTTCTTAGGAAGAAGCAACATCCCGCTGTGATCTGGTCTCTCATCTTGTAACAGATTTCCTGGAAATATTGGGCCATCTTTCATTGTCTAGTTGTCCTTCAAGATAGATCAAGATAGGGCTTCAGTCTCAATATGTGAACAATGTCTTTTGAATTCCTTCATTTCCTATTTTGTTCTAAACTTTCTACTTCAGACGTCACATCAGAGAGCTGTCATGTTATTTAGTGCAGTCCAAAGTAACATCTTAGGAACTTTTCAGATAATCCAAACTTTTGTACTGAAAATCCAGACTAAGTTTCTGATATTGTAGCTGACAGGTCGATACTTCTTGTCATATTGGCTCTTCTCTGTGGCTTGTTCCTTAAGAATATGGAGTTTTGCAAGCTGTCTAGCTTCTTCAGCTCTAGTGATCAGATGTTGCAACTATCGTTGGGATCTTTGGTATTGGAGGGGAAAATTACATCAAGAGAAATCTGGATATCTTTACCATAAACGAGAAAGAATGGGCTAAATCCCATTGTGTCTTGTTTTGCTGAATTATATGCAAAAATCACAAATGGTAGTATAGTATCCCGATTTCTCTGTTCAACGTCTTTGTACATGAACAACATGTCTGCCGATTATTGAATTTTTTACTTAAACCATTAGTCTGTGGGTATGCATTCGTCAGAAGATGAGATGTCTGGCATAATTGAATGATTTCTTTAACAACAGTGATAAGAATTTGTGTCCTCGGTCACTTATCATCTCTTTACTGGCACAGTGCTTCAGTATAATTTCTTCAACTAAAAATTTGGCAATTTTGATGTTCTTAGCAGTTGGTACTGCCTATGTGACTGTAAATCTAGTAAGGTAATCTGTGCAAACTATAATTCACCAGTTCCCATTGATCAAGTAATAGGAAAACATCTAAGTAGATCTATTCCAGTTTTGGTAAATGGTATGCCATGGGGTTTTATCGGATGAAGCAGTCCTGGTGGAAGTTGCAGTGGTGATTTCCATCTTTGGCATTCTCGACAGTGTGATATGTACCATTGTGTGGTCCCATATAGCCCTGGCCAATAATACTTCCTCCTTATTTGGTTACTTTCGGTTGGAGCATCATGAAAACTTTTTAGAACATCGTTACGAAGTTGTCTTGGTAATATTAAGAACCATTGCTGTCCCATAGGATCATAGCTTCTTTTGTACAGTATACCATTTCTTATTTGATAATTTTGGTATGTGTTCTCTCTCTTGAGAATTGTAGTGATGGACTTCAGCTGTTTATTTGATTTCTGAGGACTTTAACTGAATATTTCAATTTCATTCGCATATTTCCCTATGTAGTGAATTTTGAGGACGTTCATGCCTCCTAAATCTGCTATAGAGCTGTTTCCATTAGCTTTGAGTTGCAGTTCCTTGTGGTAATTGCATCTACCAAGGCATGAAATAATTTCACACTTCGTCACCATCATTTTACTTTTACCATAGGTTCCCATACTTTGTATCGGATTGCCATGTGAGCCCACTCTCGTGAGGTTCAATATTGTATCATAATCTGCTGTTGGTACCTGCAGTGACATAAATGAGATATCGTGTAATAAATCTGCCATTGTAAGGAAGAAAATGTATTTTGTTTTATATAAATTGATTAAGGGTTAAAAGGTTATAAACAGTTTTCAATAAGAAGTTAATTCTTCTCCTGTATATATATATATATTTAAGTAGAAAGGTAATTATTAGTAATAATTGCCTAATACTTGCGCTAAAGCTGCAAAGTAATAAAATAACAATTTATTTTCTAGTAGTTATTGAATATATATTATCTCCTTTGAAAATAAATTAGTTAAGTTAGAATTTTATTGAAATGAAATTACTTGTTAGCATATTTAAAGCTGAATTATTAAAATGGAATAATTAAAAGCAGAATTGTGACTAACAAGCTAAGTAAGTATCGTCATTGACTGGAAATTGGTTGACTTTTCAAGGGGAATAAACTAATTTACGATCAATTAACGATAATTTATAGATGCAAAAGTGTTTTGTCTTTTTCTCAAATAAGAATCAAGACTAAAAGCTGTTTAATAAGATTGAGTTAAAATTATTCAGATTGCTTATAAGAAGCAGTAAGAAATTGGTGGTTCTGTCTAACTTGAAATGCAATTTTCTAATCGGAATATATAATTGTTGTAAGAGTGAGTTTTATTTCCTTACTTGAGAAAATGGTTTTTGACACTTTCGCCTTTTATCATATTAAAACAATTAAATAATGAAGAACAAGTGTGCAAAAATGTTAACTTTCTACATACATTTTCTTCTAATGGTTTGAACAGTAATTAATTTTTAGAAAGTGACCATTAAAAGATTTACAGATTGAAGATTTCACTCATCGGACTAAAAATGCTCACTGATTTTCAGTTCGACGTGTAAGAATTGAAATTATGAATTACTCCCCCCCCCAGAAAATATACTAATTAAGGTAAAATAGTTGATCACACACAAAGGCTCAAATTGGCTTATTGCTTCTCAAAGCTCACTCTTTGAATTTGTATACATCAAAATTCTGTTCAAATTTCTTCCTGCAGGCAAATGTTATTTTATAATAAAAAACTTAGTTGTGTTTGTACTTAATGCCACTAGTTAATATTTGTTGTACTGTATTCATATTTATCTTTGCCAAAAACATATTCTTTCATTCTGTAAGTTATGGATTGAATACTTTTTGTAAAAAGTTTTAATTAACAAAAGTATAATACATTTTTCATATTTTGTATGTTTAAAAAATAACTTGAAATTGATTTTTAATAGATATGTAAAGAAATAAAGTATTTAATGGAAAGATTAGCTGGTATATATAACTGTGTTTAAAAGCTGATATATTCTTTAAATGTAAAATACCATTTCGTAGCATTAAAACTGTTATATTAAAAATATTCTTATAATATTTTCCATAAATAACTTGTTTTCCTTTACTATAAAATTGTTTCTTTAGCAATTTGTTTCTGTTTGTCATATTTTCACCTGTAATGGAATTGTGTTCTATATATATGTTAATTTTCACATTTAAAATTTGTGCATTGTTGCAAAATGGGGTACGTGTTGGTTTCTGAAATTGACTGTGGCAAGAAATGGAGGGATGCTTGCCTAGATGGATTTTCAAGTCTTTCTCACATTATAATTCATATCAGGAAGAGCCATGAAGACTTTCCTGCAGCTAGCCAATAGCCTTCAAAATTAAAAATGGGTTATCTCTGTTTAGCCATTCATTGATGGGCCATTTGAGGGGGGAAATGTATAGCTTAAAACTAATGCTGTAAAATTTTGTAAAAAAGAAAGAAAAAAAATTCAGGCCTCTGAAGGCATTTTATTAATTTAAAACATTGCATCAAAATTGGATAAAATTCAGCCTTACAGTGGCAAAAAATGAATTATTTTTAGACATAGTGATATGCTTGCAGTTTGACATTTTGCAATCAGTTGGTGCTGTAAATATAAAGTATATGTAGTCAAGCATTTTGCTATACAGTCAAAAGTCGTTAATCCGGACTCGTCGGGACTTCGGCGATTCCGGATTATCGATTTTTCCGGATTATAGATCATCAGTTTAAATATGGTAAGATGGCATGCAGAAATTACAAAATTAAAAATATGAAACCGTAATTTATGACATAAAGAACAATTATGATCTAAAGGGTATCAAAATTTACAAAAAGAAAAGGCTTAATATTTATTTGTTTACTTTATTAAACATTTCCTTCAATTAAGTTTGCTTCATTTCATGTGATAATACTTTCTCTTTAATTCTATTAAACAGACGTAATTTCTTGTTTAGTTACAAAGTTTCCGCTGTTCAAGTCCTATAATTGCTGTGTTGAGAATACCGACTAATTTGTCAATCGAAATGTTTTCGTTTTCAATAACCTCTGGGTCACTTTTTTCACTATCGGAAGCGATTTATAATGACGAGGAACTTGATTT